GCTGCATGCTAGTTTAGAAAATTATTTACATCAAGTATGAAAATCGATTTTTGTATTTGTACATCCATTGCCTGTTTACAAACAACTCATGAAGAAAGTCACACAAGCAACAAAGACACTTGTAAGAGGCTGCATTCCTCTTTTCTCACGCTCTATTTTAATCAACTCGGTTTGTAAATATGTAACTTTTCAAACTTTAAAAAAGAAAAGCATATAGCCCATGTCTATTATTAAACAATGTGTGGGGAGATTTGCATATCAGTATCTTAAAATCAGTGCAATTTACTTGGGAAATGGCAAAGTAACAGTATTTCTTTTCTTCTTTCTCTCATGCTCTCTCTCTTTCTTTAGAGGGGGTGGTCCCCTTGGTATTACTTTTCACAGAGCCACTCCAGGCAAAATTAGGTGGGCAGAAGGGGCTATCATAAGGCTTTTTTCCTGTGTGGGTCATAATGCGTACCTCAAGAGTTGCACTGACACCCAATTTCTGTCAACAAAGATGGCAACTAGCCATGTGAGTCTGCCCTTGGTTCCTCATCTCGGTCTTCTGTTTAGCTCTGAAGGGGCAATAAGCACATTGGTGTGGGATTTTTCCCCAAAGAGACTGTGGGTATGCTGCTTAATGTTCTTGTTGTTTTCATAGTGACAGTATGGACTACAATACATTTTTTTTCTCATTGGATTAGACAAGCCAAGAAGCAGCAGTTCTCTGAAGATCCACAGGTTCCTCTTGTTTCATACATCTCAAGGGTGCGGTCCTGCAGGTACATCTGTAGAAGATGGTCATGTTACTGATTTTCAAAAATATCTAAATCATTTATGCCGGTTGTGTTACTAATGTTTATATGGATCATTTATCATACCTTCCTCTACTATCTGCAATCTAAAAATACTATAATTGCAAACTCTGATTTGCAAAGTATAGATTTCCCTAGTCTCTGTCAATGCTTCTAAAGATCCTTTACCCAAGGAAAACTAACACAAAGAACATTCACAAAAACAATCAGTTCATCCATTCATTAATATACAAATAAAATAAAACCTATCCAAATCCCAGAAAGTTAAATGAATTGTCAACAAATTGATAATTGAAAAAAACAAAAATATAAAGGTGAGTGAATAAGTGAATAAATGAGCAAGCATATGTGAGGGTATGTAAGTGTGTAACTGAAATGCTGAGACGGTGAGAGGTTAAGAGGGCAGAGAGTAAGATAGTGATTCTCTGAGTGAGTGTATGATTAAAAGTGTTAATAAGTGAGTGAATGAGAGAGAGAGAGAGAGAGAGGAGAGAGAGAGAGAGAGAGAGAGAGAGAGAGAGAGAGAAGAGAGAGAGAGAGAGAGAGAGAGAGAGAGAGAGAGAGAGAGAGAGAGAGAGAGAGAGAGAGGAGAAAGAGGAGGAGAGAGAGAGAGCGAGAAGAGAGCGCAGAGAGAGAAGAGAGAGGCGAGAGAGAGAGAGCGAGAGAGAGAGAGGAGAGAGAGAGAGCGAGAGAGAGAAGAGCGAGAGAGAAAGAGAGAGAGAGCGAGCAGAGAAAGAGAGAGAAAGAGCGAG